ACGTGGTCGTGCGCGCTGCATAAGCGCGGCAGCTGAATTTGAAATCTTTAGCTCGCACATGCACAAGGTATATCCCTGCAAAGTTTCAGCTTAGTATCTTATCTAGTTCACGAAATCGCTTCCCGTCAAAGAAATTTGCATGTTCCTTTGGGAGATCCGTACGTGGGGTCTAGGCGCTTGTGGGGGAAGATCTTGAAACGGAAGGATGACACACGGGGTAGGGACATATACCTGAAATTTCAGCCTCCAAACCTTCCTGGTTGCTAGGATGAAAGTGGGTGACAAAATGCACTCGCTTCCGAACACATATACACACACACACACACACACACACACACACACACACACACACACAAACGACCTCTCGACAATTGCGTTTTTGCTGGTTTTAGAAGCGCTATAACGCTGCTATAGCGCTGCACAGCAAAAACGCATAAAAAAGGACAAGGCATGAAGTGTTTGGACGACATGGCATCTACCTGCCCCACAATAATCTCCACTGGTTTTAAATAGGGAGGAGGAAAAGTAACACTGACAAGAGCTCAGAACACTGCATTCAGTTCTACGTTCACCAGAATCATCGGATTCCCACGTCGGCTATGGCGCTCTTAGTAGTATGTGAATGTCCAAACGGTCGTTCGGGACTGCTCAAGCAACAACGGAACTGCACAGTTTGGCCGAAGCTTTGCTGAACAAATGGGCCACCGGCCGCCTTTTGAAAAATGTGAGCCCAGCCGTAGTGTCTGTTGCTGCTTCCATGGCGCCAGCAAGTGCACTGCGATGTTGACCCCACTGATTCCTCCCTGCAAATATCACTATGCACTCCCGGTAACAATTCAAAACCTCTTCAGTTTTGAGTGGCTATTAGCGGAGACTGGGACTTGGTGTCGCTATACAGCAGTCATGTAAGCACTCGCATGTGGAGCCTCGTGGCGCAGTTGGACGATGCGTTGGTTTATGAAGCTGAGGGTTGGGGACTCGAAACCTGCCGGGGTCCCAACCGTCTTTGCGCCCCCACTTTTACGCCTGATACGGCGTGCCACAAATGTGGTTCCACTTTTGTGCAAGGAAGACATCTAGTTTGTCCACGCGGATCGAGTTAATACAAAATTTTGCCAAAATCGACGTGTTTGTGTCCACAGATACACGTCTTCGCAAAAGGCTGTAAAATTCAACTGAAAGAGCACAAAAACAGCTATGATGAATGGCAAAAAACGCATGTAAATGAAAGTAGATCGAGCATTTTTCCTCTTTTTTTTTTTTAAATCATCGTCACCATTCTTCTCGTGCAGCAAAATGGTCATCAATTCCCCACTGTCTAGGTAACATTTTTTAACCGGCTGTCAGTGAAAGCATGAATTAAATCTCTGTTTTCTTTGAGATCTATTTTTTGGTGTTTTAGTGTACTGCTTTTGGCGCTGAACTGAAATCCCTGCTAAGTTGTTATGTACGGAAATGGCAAAGAAAGCATGCTGCTTGCCTTACATTACCCTGTCTTAGAGTTCTTTGTAGAAATTTGTCCTCCGTGGAAACAAATGTGCCAGCTGTAGCAAAATTTCTCATCCCTCTTCGATTCATTCACTCGGTTCGATGGTACACTGACACTGGTATATGTCGGGAAGTCAGTTTCACCATTACGGCTTCCTTTGCTCAAAAGTGGAGACAGTGACGCACCATTAAATGTTGGAGATACCAACGCAAAAACGGTTGCGACCCCGGCAGGACTCGAACCTGCAATCTTCGGTTCCGTAGACCGACGCGTTGTCCAATTGCGCCACGAGGCCTCACGCGCGAATGCGTACGTGACTGTAATATGTACGGCAGCAGGCCCTCTCTTCATTAATGGATATTGAAAAGTGAAGCAGTTTTAAATTGTAACTGAGAATGCACAAAGCTATAGGTAGCGAAGAATCTGTGAGCTTTCGCGGCGCATTTGCTGATGCAGTCAAAACAGCGACAGACACTGGAGCCAAGCTTACTTTCTCCAGAAGACACACGATGGACTATTTTTTTCAGCCGGGCCTTGACTGGTCTATGTATTCTCTGACTGCCTGGACAGAATTGATTGACCGCGTAAAAATCCACGTATCACAAAGGCCATGCGGACTGTTGGGGAGAGATTCAAAAATGTTAGTGAATCTTGCGTAATGCGCGTTTATTTTAGTTCTTTGTGTTCTGTTTGACCGCTTTTTGCGTCCATTCGAGGATATTCAACGCAGTCATATTGTTATCAAGCATTCGTCGATATGTGTGCAACTGTAGGTCGCGCACCTTTCAAGAACGTTCGGTGCGATCGTGCTTCGTGATTACTGTTTTTGGTCATTCTGTTTTCATCAATTAACTTGCGGGCAAATGGCTTAATTTGTTGAGCAAGACGGGGGTTTGGCTTATCGAGGAAAACTGTTCTCCAATTGTGGAATTCTGTGCTGCGTAGTCGCGTCATTTATTTCTGTTACTTCTGTAGCCAAATGGGGAGGCATTTTATTAATATATGGCGGCCGCGATATCTGCAGACAAATCTAGGTCTGTAGAAATGATCACTGCAGATTCAGATTTATTAACTGCAGGGCACATCAGTGGCCTACGCAGTTCGACTAACGAAATTTTACCTTTGAGCCTGCGACAGAGTCTGACGCAGACAAAATAAACACGTTGCAAGAACATGTCGCTACACAAGCACTGGAAATTGAGAAATAGGCTACAAATTAGGCTGCAGCAGCTTGTAGTGCAATAACAAGCAGTAAATGTACCCAAGTATGATGGAAACCGGCGGAGCTCAAGGAGGTGAACACTACGTCAGCCTTGAAAAAAGATATTGCAGCAATTAAACAAAAGTTGCCAAGTGCAGAAATATTGGGCTGTCGTTATCCTTCTTAACCGGTACAGGGAGTCATATGCAGTGAATTCAGTACAAGTGGAACGTAGTCGACAGCGCATCGGCTTCCGGTGTGAAATGGGCTTTTTGCACAATTCACCCGCAGGTTTTTGTTGCTAATGACACTTTTTATTTCGGCGGACGCTTTTAGTTAAGAAAATTGGGAGTAGCCACCATGACTGTTAGAAATTATTACAATGACTCCCAGTCCATATCCGAAAATTCAGCACTGTAGATGCTTCGGTTGCAGAGTTGCGCAAATTTAACTTGTTTATACGTGAGGAGCAACGTGGATGCCGCTTACCTAAACACGATCCTGGACCACCCTCAGAAAATTTCAGCATTCCAGCTGCTCTGGTTGCGGAGTTACGGCAAATTTCATGTGTTCGCACGTAAGACGTAAGTGAGATATAAAAGGAACGTGAAATTCGTTTTTACATCCACCTGGTCAAACGCCGCTACCGGTTATGCTCAGAAAGGTCCAGTCCCCCAGCTGCTTCAATTCTGAAGTTACGAAATTGCCTGCGTGAGATTCTTACGTGTTCGTGTGTGAGACTTTCATGAATACGTCAGACGGCAGCACGTAAGGCTGCAAAATTACATCTCTCTACAACTTCTCGGTCAGCTCAAGTCCGGAATTGGCATGATGCCAGTTCAAAGTTTGACGTATGCATACAGGAGACCTAAGGGGGCTTGAAGGCTGAATTTAAAATGTTTGGATTATACGTGGCCAATGAACACCTTTTTGAAGTTCCAGCTTTCAACCTTGCGCCGTTCCTGAAAACACCTTCCCGCCACAAAAACTTTCAAGTGCCCGTACGTGAAAATCACATGGATACGAGCGTCCATTTTGAGGAGTGGAGCCCGCACTTATGTGCAGATTAAGTTGCCGAAGTTTCAGCCTTGTAGCTTTTGTAGATCTCGAGATGAAAACTCGTTACAGACGTACATATAAACACGCATATACATACACACATACATATATGGACAAACCCCCCTACAATATGCGTTTTTTGCATTGCACGGATGCAAAAAGCATAAAAAAGAAATATATCCAGTTCGATAACATAACCGAACCAGAGTAGTCAATACGAAAGCCTGACATACGGAGCTGTTTTGAAGGAGGAACTACGGTTCTTAAAAGCTGATGAAGGGTTACAAAGAACCAAATAAACTCTTTAAAGGATTTCAGCTAGTAACTTCCGGCTTATCAGAATCAGTCAAAATTAATATTATTAGGATAAAACCAAGAGGTACGGCGGAATTCATAACGAATAATCTACTCCTGAAAACATAATGCAGTACAAGTCAATTTGTAGTTCAGTTCTAGCTGAGTTATTGAAGTAATTACTTCGCGGCTGGCAAAAGGAGTTCTTCAGAGAAACAAGAAACGGGCACCGGAATTTGGAGAAAAAATAAAAGCCCTGTCCGACGTTCGTCACCATAAACGAAAAAATACTCATAAATGGAAAAAGCTGCCGCTATTTTTGAAGGAGCTAGTAAACCAGAATATTATGGCCTCGCCAGTTATGCAAAATAAAACCAAATTTAAAGGGCTTTTTATTAATGCAAACCGGTTAGAGTAAGCAGACGGAGTTTCACCAAGTTTCGAGACAAAGCGAAACCCCCGTTATTAGCGCACGCATGCAATAGGAGAGAAGCTGCATTCAGGAAGAAGGAGAACAAATGGTGCCATTCAGTTGTTGTGTGTAACTTGTGTGTTAAAATCCAGTGTACTTAGGGGAAAAGCCTTCCTCAAAAAGAATTTGGAAAGAAGGTGGAACTAAGAAACCTTAGAACTCCACTGGAGTGAGAAGCAAATGGCAGAATTGACAGCTTTATACGACTCCAGTGAGTAATTTCGGTAATAAACTACGGAACGCCCCAGAAAATTGCACCCAAATAAAATTAAATGACACTGCAGAGGAACCAATAACTCCAAGAAGGCAAGAAAGACGCAGTGCTCGACTAGAAGCCAAGCGAGTGTGGATGAAATAAGTAGCAAATTCAACAAGAACCTATTGCACTCCATGATACTCGTAAACTCCAAAATTTCGCCATCAAGCAACAGTTTTCCTTTGCTTTGATGAACGACGTAAGAGACAAAATACTTTAATCAAGCCCAAGCTGGAACACTGTAGACTCGCCAGTGCGACAATGCTTTTTATGCGCTTTTGCTGTGCAGCGCTATAGCGCTGCTAGCGAGCAAAAACGCATATTGTCGAAAGAATCGTCTGTGTGTGTGCTCGGAAGCGAGTGAACTTTGCCACCCACTTTCATCTCAACAATCAGGGAAGCTGGGAGGCTGAAATTTTGGGTATATGTTTCTATCCCGTGTGCCACCTCCCGTTTTAAAACTTTCGCTCATACGCGCCTAGACCCGGCGTGCAAACTCCGAAAAAAATATGCAGATTTCTTTGGCGAACCATGCAAAATACGGAACTAAAAGTTTACAGGGATGTTCTCTGTGCACGGGTGAGAGCTAAAACTTTACAGGGATGTTTTCTGTGCATTTCAAATTCAGCCTCCGGGTATACGTGGTACTTACGTAATGGCGTGTGAAAGTTTTGGCGGGAAGATTACTAACTCAGAAAACAGAAAAGCTCGAAAGCCAAAATTTTGCGGGAAGCACCGTCCAAGCACAACTTAAATGTTTCAAATTCAGCGTTCAGGTATGCCTGGTTCTTACGCACAAGCAAGTGAAAGATTTGGTGGGAAAACTGCCAACTCAGTAACCAGAAAAGCTGGAAGACTGATATTTCAGGGGAATTTCCCTGTCCAAGCGCAGTTCAGAAATTTCAAACTCAGCTTCCCACGGGCATGTGAAAGTTTTGGCGGGAAAATTATAACTCGGAAATCAGAAAAGCTAGGAAGCTGAAATTTTAGGGGAACGTTCCCTGTCCAAATGCAACTTAAATATTTCAAATTCAAAGCCCAGGTATGAGTTGTTCTCATGGCACTTAAAAGTTTTGGCGAGAAAATTGCTCACTAAACAACTAGGTAACTTTCAAAGAACGACCGTTAAATGGAAATTGTTCATTTACTTTATGCAAAATTTATGGTGATTTACGCTAGTGAGGGCAAAAGGTAGGCGTAGAACAACAACCATTCATGCAATTAATGACCTAAGTACCTCAAGTCTGGTGCAAAAACGCATGACCACACCGGCAAGCCTGATGCGTTCCAGCCTGGGTTTGAAAATGAACTAGCTGTTCCATGGGCAATCTTCCCGCCAAAAAATTTAATTGTCCGTACACAGGAATCACGCATACCTGGAGGTTGAATTTGAAACCTTTGTGTTTTATGTGAACGGGGAGCATAATCTCAAGATTTTAGCATTTTAGCTTTTCTAGTTCCCAAGTTAGTAATTTCCCGCCAAAGTTTTCACGCGTCCGCACGCGGGCCCAGACTTTCGTGAAGGTTGCTACTGCGGTCCTGAGGTGACACTTGGCTGCGGAATTCACTGGCAAAATTTTAGTGCCGGAACTTGCTTGGTTGCCAAGTTGAAATACCCGAAAACACACATACACACACACACACACACACACACACACACACACAGGATTGTCGCAATATGCGTTTTTGCAACTTGCGTATGTGCAAAAGCGCATAAAAACGACCGGGCTTCATGCAAAAAACTAACAATCTTGTACCTGGAAGTCCATGTGGCCCTAGAACGTAGCACCTTCATCCCAACCGACGCCCTTTCTCATGCAAACCGGAAGAGGCCAAAGTTAGGCTGCGGCGCAGGGATCATTCCTGTTATTAGAGACCTGCGAGTTTAGTGCAAAAATGCATGATTGCACAGCAAACCTGTGTTTGCATCAAACTTGAAGCAGTCAGATCGTTAACTCTATGAATAGTTGTTGCTTTAAACCTAGCTCGTGCAATCACTATCGTAAATCATCGTAAATTTTGCATAAAAGGAAGATGGTCAATTTCCGTTTAACGGTTGTGCTTTGAAAATGACCTGGCTGTTTGGCGAGCATTTTTCCCGCTAAAACTTTTAAATGCTCATACGTGAGAACCATACATACCTGGAGACTGAATCTAAAATCTTTAAACTGTACCTAAGCGGGAACATCAATTTAAAATTTCAGCTTTCCAGTTTTTCTGGTTCCAGAGTTAACTGTTTTCCTGCCAAAATTTTCACATACCGTGCGTGAATACCACGCGTACCCGGGGGTTGAGTTTCAAGCCATTAAGTTTCACGCGGACGGGGAACATGTCCTTAAAATTTCAGCCTTCCAGCTTTTCTAGTTGTCGAGTTAGCAATTTTCCTGCCAAAAATTTTGCGTGTCCGCGCGTTAGAATCAAGCACAACTAGGGGCTGAATTTTAAATCTTTAGCTCATACTTGTACAGAGAGTAACCCTGAGGAATTTCCAGCCCTCTACCTCGTTTAGCTCGAGATCGCTTTCCCGCCAAAGAATCAGCATTTTTTTTTTGTCTGTACGTGGGACGCAGGCGCATGCAGATGGTAGTATTAAACGGGAAAGTCGCACATGGATGCTTCACTTACAAGTACGCAAAACGAACCGAATGGGTTAAGCTTCTCGAGTACGCAAAACGAACCGAATGGGTTAAGCTTCAACGGCCGGTTCCGAGGATTTCGGCAGCCACGAAAGCGCAATTAGAGATGAAATGAAACATGAATATAAATGAAACTGTGAATTCGAAATATTCTTTTTTCTGCAAGCACATTAGAAGGCTGAAAAAGGACCTTGAAAAATACAACTACCGGCGGAGGGCAGACTGGATTCACGAACAAGGTTTGAAGAATGGATGTGGAACCCAGGCTGAAACGCACCAGGCGAGCAGGTGCGATCATGCGTTTTTGCACAATACTTGAATTAGGTCAGCTGCTGTCCCTTCACACCTACCTTACGTGCCTAATGTCGAAAATCATCTTAAATTTTGCATAAAAAGAAATAAACTATTTCCATTTGGCGGT